AAGCATAATTTTACTGAGGAATATGAAAGCTGTGGAATTTTAACATTTTCAAGATTGAAGAGGTGCTTTAAGAACTTGTGCAACAGATACTTGCTCAGCAGTCAGACCCAGAAAAGCATCAGCTACCTTTTTACCACCAAAAAACCTGCAGGTGGAGTGACTCCTGTGGCTTTTCTTACACTTGTGTTTATCTTCAAGTGCAACGTAAAGGACGTGGCCAAAACTGAGCAATGCTAAAAAATGAAGCAACTTCAGTTACCAGTGGTGTGAATACAGAAATAGACTGACTAGTCTTTGAATAAGATGCCTCCTGTTTTTCATTAAGCTTCAAGGAGGATACCATACTGAGTAGCCTGGACTTACTAGATTCTTTTATTAAGCTGTCATTATCTTTGTAATGTGGACTTCAAGGGATTTTTCCCATGATTCCTCTGCTTAATTCAAGGGCAAATGGAGGGCTAGTGAAATAAAACTGCTCTACATCAACTTTTTTCACTTAAGTCAGTATTTTAACCTTTATAAGGTTTCCTTTCTGAAAAAGGAATCTTTTCCTGAAGGAGAATGATCACATAACTATATTCTGGGATGAGATAACATGTTTTCACCTCTAAAATATTTTTGTTAGTGCTAGATGCATAATCTCCATGTTCAAATACTGTGCATTTCCTTCAGTTTTTTAAACTAAACTGTTAAAGAACAGTTAAAAAAAATCTAGAGAAGGTAAACTTACATTTTGAAGTGACAACTGTGCAAGGGCCTAGTATGAAAATTTCTCTCTTACAAAAATTGAGATGAAGACTAGTGCTTTTAACTCACCCCTTCACATAAAATCAGAGAAGCACCACCATATATGTGAACTCCAGAATCTGAACTGGAAGTTGTGCATATTTTCAAATATGCAGAAAAAGCAGTCTCTTCTCAGAGAAATATCTCCTGGTGTTGTCAGTTACTGATGACTTATTCCTAGGTTAGCTCAGGCTCTGGATGCTGTGGATTTGGGGGGAGAAATGGAGGTGGGGATGTTTCTCCTTCATTCACAGTGGAACAAAGAGTAATGCAAGCACTTAAAGGGCAGAAGGGTAGCGAAAACTCTTAAAGGATAAACTTGTTCCAACAGTTTTATTAGCAAAGAAGCCATCTTTTGAAAGAAAATAAATACAAGGAAGACATTTTTGCCTTTTTTATAGTCACAATGAAAATACCAGCTGCTACAGCAAAATCCCTGACCATTAACAATACAACAAAAGACCTGAAGATCGAGGTGTTTCCTCAGGAAGGCTGAAGGTAGTAGGCTGTTTGGAGTTAGCGTGCAGTCCTGTAACCAGATGCAAGTTCCTGTAACAGTCCATGGTTCTAACCAGACTTGAAAAGAAGAATAGCGACTTGGCCGAGGTAGAAATAGATGAAGTGCTTGGTCTCATGAGTCACATAGCTGCCAAAGTTCCTTCCCACAATGCAGTGCCAAGTGGGATTGTATTTCTTGTCAAATTCCTACAGAAGAGAGAACTAGAAATTCAGCATTTTCATGAGAGTTGTACCAATATTACCTAACAGGTTGTGGGTTTTTTGTTTTTTTTTTGGTTTGTTTTTTTTTTTGCAATGATATGTCAGTTGTTCGCAAGTATCACTTTTGGAAGAAGGCAAATTAAAGCACAGCATATGCTCTTAAGTGCAAGGATCATCTGTCTCTTTATAACTCATCTGCTGCTTAGTCAGACCCAAAAAAAAAAGTGCTTCTGAGCTGAGCAGGAATAAGCTTAACACATATGGCTGGGGAAGTAACTTTTTACCAAAAGTCACACCATGATCTCAAACCTTAAGAACGTCACTGCTTGTTCCGAATGTCTAGAGATTAAGCCATTACCTTGACTTCATTAGCTAGTTTCAAGGATGTTGATGGAAAATTCTTTGTTGCATCCTTGCTACCATGTTAGGAGACTGCGTTCTTACTACACACCGTTTTCAGGAGCCTGTTACAACTTTCAGAATAATTTGTGTGTACAAGTCTGCTGTGAGTAAAACCATGCAGTCTGTGGTTATGTACTGCGGTTTCTAACAGCTGTCAGCTGAAGAGTCTTTTTGTGAGAGCGTGCAAGAGCTCCTGTTCTTCAACTACTTGCACCTCAGTCAGGCTCAGGGAGAGAGAAAATCTGAAAAACTGTAAGCTATGACCCATCTGTTCTGTGTTAGCATGAACAGTTTGTCTCACATGTGGTAGGGGAAAAGAAACCAAAACCACTTATTACAAGGTCAGCAAACCACCACTTCTAAAACAGGCTTCATAGAGCCCCTGTGTTTTGTACCAGCTCATCAGCCACAGGGACAGTCAGCTGCCACTCTCTGTTCACCTGGGCAATGGGACAGTGGCAGAAATCGCTTAAGTAGAATGTTATGCAAGAGAAAAGCAGAGGACCCAGAAAAGTCCACATAAAGGGTAGGGAAAGCCCCACAAGGACACTAGCCTACTTGATTATCTAGTGTCTCTAGAACTTGTTCCTCTAGAGCTACCCGCCCAGCAACATTCTGCCTGCTTGATTTTTCATGTGCACAGAGATTTCAGGAGGATGGTACAAGCAGACATTTACCTTCTTTATGTGAGCAGCAATGTCCTTCTCAATGTTGTACTTCTCCAAGGCCTGAGTAGCGCACTCCACAGAGTCTTGCTGCATCTCTTCTGACATGTCTGCATTCTTGATCACTGCCTTTCGATCGCTCATGATTGCCTGTATCGAGCAAAGAAGAGAACTCGGAGCTGCTGGAGCACGTACCTGCCCGGGTCCCTGCCCAGCGCTCAGTCACGCAGGTGCCACCACTCGCCGCCAGCTCGCGGGCCCGCGCTGTGCCACCGCCGGGGCTGTGCCGCGCTGCTGCCGGCGGTGTCAGAGGCGCAGGCACAGCCTGTGCTCGGAGCCAGGGCAGCGCTGCCTCCCTCCCGAGCCCGGACACCTTCAGCTCCCGCTCCCCAGTCCCGCTCCAGCCCGGCTGCCGCCCGCCGGGAGCCCCGGGAGAGGGCGCAGCCGCCCCAGGTCCCGGCCCCACCGGCCTCGCCCTGCCCAGGGGAGGCGAACGAAGCCCGGCACCCGCCGCCGAGAGCTCGGAGCCCCGCGCGGCTGCAGGGAAGGCTCCGGCCCGCGGCTCCCGGGTGCGCGGGAGAAGCGGAGGCGTCGGCTGGGGAAGGGCCCTGGCACAGTAGAGCCGGCGGGGCACGCACCGCACCGGGATGTCGGAGGCACGGTGCCCGGTCCCCCTCGGGTCTCGCCCGCAGTCCCCTCACCGTTCGGCGGGCGCTGCGGACCCGGCGCTGTGCTGAGCGGAGCGGCGCTGCGGTCTGAGCGGTACGCGCCGCGGCCGCTTCCGAGCGGCCTTAGCCCCGCCCGCCCTGCGCCCCGGCCGCCAGCCATTGGTCACCGCCCCCGCCCCGTCGAATGCTCATTGGCTCGGGTCCGGCACTCTCGTAGCCTTTTACTTTGGCGTTTTCTTTCAGCCCGGCATGCTTCGCGCTTGCGTCCGTTTCCACAGCGACGGGCGGCCGCAGGCGGGTACCGGGGAGCGCGGCCCGCAGAGCACTTGCTGTTGGGTATGTCAGTGTGGATTTCAGCTGTGTGTGGAAAGCCTCTGGTCCTGGCTGCTGTGCCACTCACGTTTGCCGTCGTCTGGTGACTCTGGGCAAAAAACTTGTTCCTTAAAGTACGCTCAGTGCCCGGGGCATTGTAATGTGACTGCCAGCTTCTGTAGAACACCTTTCTGTGGTTGATACGTGGGCCCCAAAGGCCATTTTATTACTCACCCCCACCCAGATCCGAGAGACACCAAAGTTACCCCAGTAATCTCTGCAACAGGTCCTTGTTTCTCTGAACCAAGACAGCTCCTTCCATAAAATGGCCTTTACTGAGAGGAAGGCCCACCCATCTCAGAGGAAGGAGTTCCATCGCTTATAAATGGCACTTGATCATCTTTCCTCTTCACGTGTCTGTTTTCAATAGAAAATCTTTTACCTCCAATAGAAATCTTTTACCCATGTTTACTGAGTATGATCAAGTCAGCTCTAAACTTTGTTACTTTAGTGAACTGAATTCATCAGACTTCTTAAGCCTCATTTAAAGCATGTTTTGCAGACCCCACTATTTCTGCAACTTATGCCCTTTTTTTTTAGCGGGGTATTTCATTTTGGGTTTTTTTGTTTTAAATGAAGCAAGATGTTTTTGGAGATTGCCATGCTCTGTTTTGTTAGTTTGAGGCCCCCTGGGACACTTTCTGCTTGTACTCCTGTCAGCAGCTAGAAAATTGCTGTTGAGTCTTCCATAGCTGGTGATCTGTTAATAACAGGACTATAAACCAAACAGCACAGTATAACTTAAAAGAGGTTTTCAAATACTGGTTGGTGGGACTGCCATTTCCTTGTAGAAATCAAAAACTCAAGAGCAGTCATCCACCTCATTTGAAATGCAAATAGTTTTCCTATTAGTACATTATAGTTACCTGCTCAGTGTCATTCATAGCAAAAGCAGCATAACTGCAAGCAACCTGTTGCTTTTGCAAGCTCTGGGGTAAATTCAGAAGAATATACTGTCCCCAAAATATTATAACTGATTAACGTAGTACTTTTGTCACTCTAGATTATGTCATAAATAACGTCTAACTTTAACTCCCAGGTTTTAGCATTCCAATTAGATAAAATTCACAGCTTTGCTTTCTGTCTTGCCATCAGGAGTGTGTGTAGGGGACAACTCTGAAAGTTCTGAAATTAAGGGAATTTATCTGGTTTAATGCAGCAGCTGTAAGGGCATACGAGACCTTGTGTGCTAGCGACTTGAAGAAACTTTGAATAGTCTTAGGGCCGTGGTAAGCAATTAATTTATAGAACTGTGTTTAGTATCTGCAGCACTAGCAATGGTTCTTTGAGTATGAGACAATTTGTGCTGACAGAACTGAACCATTTAACTATCTTCCCAGTGCTTACAATGAACTTCAGAAACACCCATGAATTTCTGAGGAGGTGGTTGTGTTTGGTAGCTGCAGGCAAATTTCTATGCATTTATTAAGAAATGGTTAGCTGAAGGAACAGATGTGATGACGACTGCAGGAAATGTCAGTGTGGGTGAGATACACATCATTAACGAGAAACATTAAAGCCTGAGATACACAGCTTTACTTGTTAATCGAGAATATAAAAGTGTGGTTTCCCTCAGGACAGAGCTGCAGGGGAGGGCAGAACGAATACACAGAGGAGATGATAGCTGGAGTAGAGGAGGTGCCGAAGAAAATTGAGTAATGGATAAGACATATCATGAGATTCCTCTTGCAGATGAGGTTAGATTGTAAGCACTTTTCAGTTGAGGCCTTTTTTTGCTGTGTTGCATACTGGATCACTGTATCAAATAGAGATTTTTCCTGGGTCTTCTAGTTACTATCAAAGCATAAAATTATCATTATTAGCAATAAAACAACTTAAGTTTTCTTTTTTCCATAAAATTGAAGAAATCTTCACCCTGAAATTTTCTTTGTAAACCTGGAATCTATATGCTAGGGCTTCTAATCTGATTTTATGTTACAGCTCTACATAGTAGTGGAAAAACCTTAGCAGGTCTAAGTCAAATTATGGTCTCCAGGGAAAGTAGATGCATTTACATCATCTCAGAATCTGTCCTTTTTCTTGTCTTATTTTTTTTTTCTTTTTTGCCATATCTATTAACCATGGAGAAAAGATGAGTTATTTCACAAATACACATTATATTTGCCTCACTGCAGTTACGAGGAATTTACAGGTAGCAATTTTATTACACGAGTCCTTAACTATATTTATTCCCTTGCCAGGGTTTATAAATTGCATTGTGGCAGAATACTGTAAAGATCTGACCCCAATCTGGACCCAATTACATATCGAGGGCCTGCAGTGAAAGCAGGTGAACTGGCACCACGAAGGGCGTCTCGCCCCCATCTCGGAGTGCAGCCAGGGCCCAGTGGGGCTTTGTGCCATCCCCTGGGGTGCAGCACCCACCACATTAGACGTGCCAAGGGCAGGCTGAGGCACTAACATATTTTGCCCCATAGGCAGCTCACCTGGCCTTTGCTAGGATTTCTGTTTTGGTGGTTGCAGGTATCTGAGTCATGGCTATAAATCCCTTATTAGCAGTGAAGTTGCAACAAACCCTTTCATTAAGGAAATACATGTTTTCCACTTTAAATGAAGTTTGAGCTGCAGGGAACAAGCATCAGGCAGTCTGTTTTCACACTGGAGTGTTTGGGTAAGGGAGTAGCAGTGAACTGGCAGTTTTAAGCTTAGCCTGTGCAGCAGTGGGAACAGGGGATCATCTTTGTCCAAATTGTTGGTTTGGTTGTTGCTTTTAAATAGTTACTTGATGATACATTGTGTTGGAAGCCCCTGCAGCCATGCAGTTCACTCTCAAATTCCTCTTCCTTTTTCTACATAAATAACATTGTCCTGTTGTCTCTGATGGCCAAAGGAGGAGGCCAAGATGGATGGAACAAATGGGGATTTCTCAAACTGAGAATTCTCTGCTAACATGCTTGTTGTGTGGTGTGACTTGAGGTCTTTCCATGTCATGATTTATAAATGCATCATAAATGACTTTTAGGCTGAGCTTGTATGTTTGTAAATTTGCAGGGTCTGAAACCTGAAGAGCCTGAGACTAAAGCACTAATACAGTTTTACAGCCTTGCAGAGAACTGGATTAGTGGGGTTAAATAGAGACTTTAATTCAACACCCTTGAAAGAATTCAAATATCATAATAATTACATGTTTATGCACATACATATATGTATATATGTATATGTATGTGTGTATGTTATAGAAGCTTAAACAAATAATGAAGTAACTGCACAAGTAAGAATGGGACAAGTGTTTGTGCTCACGTCCTGCCAGAGAAATATGAAAAAAAAAAAAAATCAGTTCCTTAAAAAAAAAAAAAGTTCAAAACTTACCAAACATGCAACCTTTGAGGGCAGTGAGTAAAAGTGGATCCTACCCAGTAGCTGTGATTTCTTATACCCACAAAGACAGCTGTAATCCTTTTCACTCAGCTGGGTTTTCCATTAAATACATGGCACATAATGAACGAAAGGCCTGAGAGGGAGCTTGTCAAAGCACTTTGTACACACAGTATTAAGAGCAAGCCACCTATGGCTGAACCTAGTATCACTACTATTCAAACTCTTTCATATTTTTTTCAGTGTTTTTCAAATTATACTTCTAATATGCTTGGTGGACTTTTGCGATGTTAAGAAACAACACTTGTATCATTAACGTCTAATTTATATTACCTGCTGTTTGCAGGGATGCGGAAGATGCAGTTCATAGGAGAAATAGTTATTATGGCCATGCTCAGGACTTCCTCTATCAGACAGCTGGCAGGACCTGAAGAAACACATGCACCAAGCAGGTAGTGTTTATTATGCAGATGCACAGAAAGATGGAATAGGAGTAATGGCTTTTCTCTGCAAAAGGATACAGAACAAGCACTATATAAGCTGGACGACATCAAGTTACCATCTCACAAGGTGAGTTTCATGTGCCTGCACAGCCATGGAGGAGCCTACTTCCCTTCTCCTATCAGGCTCTCAAGAGCTGTAAAAGCAGACTCAGAACTGGTGATCAGTAGCATCCCATTACAATAACATGAGGGGTCTTTTCTAGCACTTTCAAATTCCACTGTGGCTCAGTATGTCATGATCTTCTCTAGTGCATGGAGTTAGAATTGGAATAAATAATTATGGATACTTAAATCTGTATGTGGACAGGGCACAAATCAGGAAGAAAAGCTTGTTTTTCAGCTTTTTTTTCTGCCCTCTGTAGGGCCTGAAAGTGAATGGTCTGGACTATTTTGTTCTAGTTTGCTGCAGTATTATTCTTTCAGCAGGTCTTTAGTTTCTTGCAGTAAGCCTTGGCTTATCTGGCCTCTGACTGGTGGCAGTCTGTAAGGAAGCCTCAGCATTCTCTGCCAGGAGACAGCGACAATGAATGTTGTTTGCAAGAGCCATCTTCCCAATTTGCCCAGCACAGCACCTCTTCCTGTGATGGTCTATTGGCCTCTGAGCCAGTAAGGCAGAATCAGGGGGGCTCCTTTTGTTCTTGGAGCTGTGCTACCTCTTTGCAACCACTTCTTCACTGTGGCTGAGCTTTCTGTGACAAACATCCCATCTGGGAGCTGGTGGCTGAAGTGCTTACCCCAACCCTTTCCATGCAGAATTTGAGGTACTGGTACATGACTGTTACTTGAGAGTAACAGGCTGAGCTTGACAATTAACTGTTACTTTTCCACACCATCTTGCAAAGAAACAGAAATATCCCTGCACTAATTCATTTTTTTCCCGCAAGATGGAAACGTTCTAAGCCAAAACCCAAACTGAGCAGAAAGAAAAGCATCTAGAGCCATGTGCTCAAAGATTAGGGTATTACACCAGTCTGGGGAGTGGTTTCTACAACGCTGAGATCTAAAGTAAAGGCTCAGTATCCTTATAAACAAGTAACAGCTAGTAAAATGGTGATATTGAGGTGATACTCGCATGAGTTTGTAAAGTAGAGCTGGAAACAGATTAAAGGTGAAGCTGTATCCAGAGTGGTATCTGCTAATCACACTGCTTCTTCTTGTAAAGCTGTTGCGAGCTTCCTGGTAGCAATGTCTGCTTGCAGCACTGAAAAGTACCAGAGTACTTGTATTTCTAAGACCTGTTCCAACAAAAAATAAAGGTGACAGTGCCTATTTAGTTCACTGTGCCAACAGAACAAAAATGCCAAGTTCACAAGTAATTACATTCTTCATTTACAACAATCTTAGCCACACAAGTTGTTTTAAATAACACAAACAACTGCAGTGCTTTGTTTGAAATTAAAAAATGGTTTAATCCAGAAAATATTGCCAGGGCCACTACAGATACACATCTGGTAGACAAAAATAGTTATGGCAAAGATTTTTTTATTTTAGAGCAGCTATTTCTGTGCTTGAAAAGTACTTTTTCAAATTATGTACAACTCCAGGTATGTAATTTGTGAGAATAAAAGTACAAAGTGGGAAATAGAAGGTAACCCGTACAGACATGGAACACAGAGATAAAATGGAAATATTCAGTAGAGGCAAAATATTTCAGTGAATCATCTTCTCAAAGTGCCTTTTCTCCCATAATGAAAATCCGAGTTCTGTCCGTACGTCACAGATACTCAGCAATGTTACGGACTCTTCCTCCGTATCAGACTCTGTTACTTCTGACAGGGTCAGAGCCAAAGTCAAGCTAAAGGTGAGAAGTAGGCAAATACAGCCTTCCAGCCTCTCTTGTTTTCCTGGCAAACTTGTTGAGGAAAAATATAGTGTTACGGGGTTTTTAATCATTACCTTTTAATATTCTCTTTAAAGCCTTTAAGCCATTCAGTAGCTTAAAGAATAACATCAAATTCACTTTGCTAAATAAAAGCATTAAGGTCATCTGTCATGCAGCCTTCCAGCTTCATAAACTCTGAATATTTCAGTAGCACTACTAAACTTTTTACAACTTCCTTCTTCTGTAAATTGTCTTGCAAGCACTCCCCTTTTGATCAAAATACATACCAGGGTATTTCAGCTGTGACTGCACACAACTTAGCTTTCCAAAAGAAATACCAAAATGGTGTTTGGGTTCTGGGCTTTCGCTAAGAGCCCTGCAGAAAAGATTTTCGTTCTTCTAGCTTTGGTAAAGGGATGTTACCTGATAGAAAACGAAAAAAAAGATTGAGTGTGACCAGCTGCAAGCCACCTTCTGGGCAGTACAACTTAGCACAAAAGTGCTTCTCCAGTTTATCCTAAGTATGTGCAGGCAGCTTAAATTTCCTGAGCAAGTAAGGAAAGTTCTGCCCGACTTCCTGTAAAGAATTGCTCAACATGTGCAGTAACTTCAGAGTCAGATTACCTTCTGTACTGCTTTTGTACCAACAGATTGCAGACCATTTTATACAGATGGCTAATTATTTATTTTAGTACTTCCTTATTACTACCTAGTATTTCTGAAAGTAAATGCAGCTATGGCAGGTTATATTCCTCAGGTTGATTCAAGTAAGATTAAGAGGTTTTTATAAGCAAGACAATACCTGGTGGCGCTACAAAATATTCCTCTACTTTCTCTTTGGAATTTTTCAGCAGCTCTTCCGTGCAGTTGCCTTCTGTAACATCATCTTCTCTGAGATACAGACACCTGAAGAACAAAGATTACTAGCCTGTCTTTAAGATATTCTATGAATATAAAGTAAGAAGTGTGGCTTATCTCTAAACCTCGTTTTGGTCTTAAGTAAGCAGTACAACAAGTACCAGAACATTCTGAAGTAACTAAGAATGCCACTGTCAGATATCTGGGGAGCAGCGTGTGCAGATCGTTCATGACAAGTCATATACACAAAGGAACTGGAGTTTGCCTTTGCTGTGCTTACACATAAAGATCATGGGTGCTGACAACATCTTCCTTCTGCACGAAGCCACGGTAAGATTTCTGTGTTAGCAAAGGGGCCAAATGTATACCCAGGGTGATTTGCAGGGGAAAAAAAAAAAAAAAAAAGTTACAAAAGCCAATGGTTTGCTACATTAACAGTTAAACGGAGGCTGCTGTGATCCATTACCTGTCCTCCAGGACCGAATCCATCGGTTCTACGCCATCAGTGTTTACTTCATGAAGCTGATCAGCAAAGTCGATTGCTTTCTGCAGCCGCTCTACACCCTCTGAATCACGGAAATCAACCAGGGCCAGGTGTTCCAAGTGATCCAGCACTTCCACTGTCACTTTAGGCTGTAAAGAGGCAGATATGGACAGAAAGGGCAATGGTGAGCAAGCTCAATATAGCTCTACTTTTCCTTTTTTACCTAAAAATTTGTTACATGCCAAAATCCCCAGTTTACATCGGGACACGCTGATTTCTTGCCCTTTCTTGGAAAATTAACATAAGTAATTTTTCTCCCTCCTAAGCTCCCGCTCAGCGAAGGGCAAACCGGGGCTGGCGCTCGTTGCGGTGACAGAACCGCCCGGGGCCGCGCTCGTCCCGGCCGGGGGCCAGGCCCGTACCTGCGCGGGGGCAGCGGCCCGGGCCGGAGGGTCCCGCGGCGGCGGCTGCCGCCCCTCCCCGGCCCCTCGGGCCCCGCCGGGCACCGGCCGCAGCCACCGGCCAAGGCCCAGCGCCCGCATCCCGCGCTACGTCACCTCTCCGCGCCGGAAGCGCGTCAGAGCGGCGGCGCGGCCGGCCCGGCCCGGTGCGGCGGGGAGCGGGCGCTCGGCCGCCGCCGCGATGAACAGCGTGGGCGAGGCTTGCACCGAGCTGAAGCGCGAGTACGACCAGTGCTTCAACCGCTGGTTCGCCGAGAAGTTCCTCAAGGGCGAGAGCGCCGGGGACCCCTGCGGGCAGCTCTTCAAGCGCTACCAGCTCTGCGTGCAGGTGCGAGCAGCCCGCCCGCCCCCCGCCCCAACCGGTCTCCCACCGGGCTTGTTCCGTTTCCCGCGCTCCTGGCAGTTCCAGGAGGAGCCTCTGCTCGCAGCTGCGCACCCTACCGGGCTGCCTCTTGTCTCCCGTTTCTGTCGGTCCTGACGTATGGTATTTTACAGGTGTCTCTTACTGTTTTTTCTCGTTAACGTAACTGCTTAAGCCTGCTGGCTTAGAGGCTGTGGCACGTGTATGCGATAGAATCCACACTGTAGTTCAGCATGAGTTCTTGCTATTGATACCAGATATTAGAGCATCTCTAAATCAGAAGCTTTATCCAAACCAGTTTTAAGTTAGCACTATAAATACAGGTCAAGTTTAAGTTTCTGGTTTGGTTGTTTTTTTTTGTTTGGTTGTTTTTTTTTTCAGAAAGCAATCAAGGAAAAGGACATACCCATTGAAGGCCTCGAGTTCATGGGCCCAAGCAAAGGAAAAACTGAAAACTCCTCTTGACCTCAGCTGTATGGATGGAGTCACTAACATGAGCCTTTGGACTAAGCAACATCACCGGGCGTATGACTAGACGCCACCTGGATGAGACCTTGTTAAGCTGCTTTCTAGGAAGCAAAGAATCTTCTCTGCTTGTAAAAACAGCCACAAAAAAAAAAAAAAAAAAAAAAAGACTGGATCATGGGGTAACTACTGCCTCCTTTACAGTGAATTTTGGTGGCGGTTCAGCATCTAACAGCTTGAAAAGCCATTTGAACTAACTTCAGGGTGAATGTACTCTATAATGGGAAAATGCTTATTAGAGTGGGCTGAGCTAGTAGTTGCTTTGTGACTGATTTCTCTTGCTTATTTATATAACACTTGAAGGTGTTTAAAAAGCACATGAAGGAGGTTGATTTACTTTGTTTCATCTCTATGCTGCTGAATTTTGGCAGAAGTTTGGTTTATATGATCCTGAATGCTGAGGGGCTAAAGCATTGTTTTGTATCAGCAACAGGGATGGTATAAAAGCACTCAGTTGGACCCGCAATAAATTAGCAAAAATAAATATAACTAACTTAGATTTTGTTCAAGTAAGTAACTGTCCAGTAGAATCTGGTTGTGACCTCTAGGATGGATGGAAGTGGCCTGCGTCAGAAGCTGCAGCACTTCTGGTGCAGAGGCTGCTTCTTCAGCCTTTTCTGTGGAACTGAAAGAATCCTGAACTTGAATTCTCTCTCCTTTGGCATTACGCCTTCCTGCAGGAAAGCTGCAGTGCAGCCCTGGCTGTCCTTTGCAAAATTGCCACAAAGCACTGGGCTGGCCACCATCACCGTTAGGCTTGTGCTTATGGCAGTTAAAGCGTGTAGCAAGTGAGGGGAACACTGGGTTGAAGCCTGACAGCTGAAAATGTTAAAAGCCCCATCTGCAGCTTGGGGATCTCACCCGCTCAGCAAGCTGCTTCTGAACTGTGTGTACACCTAGGAGAGCAAACAAAAGCTGTTTGTGCTGGCTTGTAAACTGCAGAAATGCTTGCAGCGACTAGAAGAAGGGTGTTTGGAAGAGAAGCAAGGGATGAGGATCCATCATGCCCAGTGGTCCTGTGAGCATTGTGGCAGGGAAGGAGATTTCTGTTGGTCCTTGTACAGGGATGGGGAAAAGCTGTCCCCTCGCATTACACCAACAGAAGTGAAAGAGTAAAAAAATATTATGGCCTGGGGACAAAAGAGAATTCAGTTTCCTAATTTTAGAATTACAGAGAAGAAAAAAGCAAGCTTCGCTCTCTTTGCTTTTAAAAACTACCTGAAGGATCATTCAGAGGTTTTACTTTTTTAAGAATTTTTAAAAGGCGCAGTTCTGAAACATAATAACTGGCTTGTCTGCACCACAGCCTGTGAGTAATGATTCCGGACACTGAGAGTAGTGTGCGACTTGTGCAGAAGATCAGGAACTGCAGCAGACTGGGGCAGCTGTTCCCCATGTCTTCAGTGATGGCCTAAACACATCAGCTGGAGCACAGTCAGGTAGCCCAAGTTAGCCACATGCCTGGTCTCAGGCACATGAGACAGCCAGTGCGACGTCAGTATGGGGTTTAAATGTAGCAATTAAAAAACAAACTGTCGACACCTGAAGTGCTGGGTCACCAAGATATAAATAAAAATAGTAAGTTAGAGGGAAAGGCCTTTCTAAGAGCACTGTAAATAGCATTTTGGGGACTGTCCAAGTATGCAGGTTTGGTGTTTTTTTTAAGGAATAACATGTACAACCAGTTCACTTTTCTATAATCTTCATGTAGGAATAAATGTAGTGTGATTTTGTCAGCTTTAAAACAACTGTGCCCATCAGTGCCTTGATCTGTGCTTTTAACATATAAAAGCTTGTCTTAGCAGCCATTTTACTAGGAAGTAGGTGAAATAAATTGCAGTGAAACATGGGTAAGGGTATCCCGCAGCACCCGCTTTAGGATTCTTACTTGCCATCCATCACTCCTTTCAGCAGCAAGATGCCAAGTCAGCTGCTGCATTCTTCCTTTTGGGAAAAACGGTATTAATGACTGCTGAGACATAGCTCTGTCCTGCATACCACACCAAAAAAGAGAAGTTGCAGAAGGAATTGGAAACCGGTTGACCTGTAGAGAAGAAAAGCTTCAAAATTAATATTGTGTTGGAACAGACTCAGGGCCTTAGAACTGGCTATTACCTGGAAGATAATTAAGCTCGTCTAGGTTAAGAAGCTTCTTAGTGACACAGTATACATTATACGGATGTATGCCATGGAGCAAAGACTGTTTTCATTTGTAATACCTGTATGAGAGACTGTACAACCTGACTGCAGCTTTATGAAAAGCAGAATTGTGAGCCACGTAAGTGCTGATACACTAGAGAATTTGAGAGCTGAAGATTAACATTGCGAAGGCACACAGAGCTTAATTAAACATCTTTGCCGCCACTCCCTTTCCCAGAAGGGGCTAAAGAGAAAATTGCCTTCGTGACTGTTAATATTGCAATAGCTGATTACAGAGAACGTGGTTCAGTATATACTGAATTTTAATCTACAGTATTAGCCTGATACCTGTTCATCTGGCTGAGCTGTGAGTTTACAGTGTGCAGTTAAACCAGGCATGAAGAATAAGAAATTGAGTAGTGTCCTATGCTGAATGCTTTCCTGTGGTTAGCACTATCACATTACAGGAGCAGGTATTAACATTCAGGCAGTCAAAGCCCTTTGCTCCTGCACTGTATCCTGTGGGAAGCCTCGATGTTTTAAGCAAAGACTGAACTAAAGAACTCCTAAAGATCCAGATTAACAAAAAAGTCAGATCCTAAATTCAAGTTCAGAGTTGTTTATTTAAAGGACCTCTACGTAAGTACAGACAGAAGCCACAAGGCCATTCAGCTTCATCTTAGAAGGAATGTAGAGTTTCTTAAATGATGGTTCCCACACAACGTTCTGGTCCAAGAGAGGAAGAGCCAGGTTCTGGCTGTGGTCAGGATCTTAGTTTTCATCTTCATAACCGGTTGGGAGAGGATTAACATGGGGATTGTGGAAGAGAGTTTTGTTCCCATCACCCCAGGGGAAAGGCTGTTGAAGGAAGAAAGAAAATAAGCCAGTGGCAGCTAACTGAATGAACTGTATGGCACAGGAAAGCAACAACAATATGGACTCAAATGATGGGCTGATGAATTAAAGAAATTGGCATCTGTTCCCGGGCTGTAGGAAGCAAGAGTTGGAAAACAGTCTCCCTTAGCTGGGAGCCACCATCTCTAGGCAACAAGATCTTTGCTCTTATTTGAACAAAACCAGTGCTATACTATGGGACCACAATTTTGAGGATCTGGGCTCTACTCTGTTAGGTTTTAGATCTGTATTAGTTTAAGGTAAGCACAGCAGCTCAGACTGAAATTTTTTCAGCAAGACATTAGCAAGACTACTTAGGGGTAGGAAGTCCTATGGATACCGTGGGTACTTCAGCTGAGCTGTGAGAAACCTTTGCTGCCTCAGAAACAAAGCTGTGAGTTGAGATTATGACAACGTATGAAGCACCTCACATAGTGGACAAGAACGCAAGAGCTGCTGTAGTAACCTCTGACAAAATTCTGCAATTACAAAAAAAAAAAGTGGCCTTTAAACAGAGCAGGGGAATGTACCTTGGTCCTGATCCGGAGGTGAGCATAAGGGATGAATTCGGGTCTCTCGTGCTCGTGCTGCCCTTTCAGGTAGCAGTTCAGCATGCAAACGCCAACGCCGGGCAGCGCCACCACGAAGGTCAACGTCTTCCACAGGCGGGCTAGTGGGAAGCGACACGTGAATGAGAATAATCGTTATTTCTGTCAGCGTCAGCGACCTAAGAACGCGTGAAATACAACACACTAACGAGGAATTAACGGGCGCTCCGCGAGTCTCCCTCCATTTCTGGCAGGGAGACCAGAGCTTCCCTCTCCAGCGGGGGTCCTGGCTGAAGCCCCCGCTCTCCCGGGGACACCGCCACCCCTCCGCCGGGCGCCGCGCTCCCGCTCGCCGCCAAGGGCAGCGGCCGCCAAGGACACAGCGGCTGCGCGCTCGCCCCGAAGAGCCCCGTTACCTCCGCCGCCTGCGTGGGCCGCGGCCGACATGCTCCGCCCCGGCAGGGAGCGCGGCGCGGCGGCGCCGAGCAGCAGCCGTGAGACTCTTCCGAGGGCGGCCATCCCCCTCAGCGACCGCGAGCGCCCACCGGAACCGGGACTCGACGGCGGCCGGCAGGGGACAGGGCAGCTGCGCGCGCACTCCGCCAGCCCGACCTTGGGCCGTGGCGGGCTGAGGCAGCCGTGCTGCGCATGCGCCGCCCGCGAGGGGCGGGGGAGGGAGGAACTGTTAGTGACGTAGCGCCGCGGTGTGTTCCCCCCTGAGGGGAGTGGGAGCCATTTTGGAGCGGAGGAATAACGGGGAGAGATACTGCTTTTGGGTGGGCGATTACTCCGCGAGCAGCTCTGACGCTGTGCGGACAGGGCAGGGTGTGGGAGAGCGCTAGGGGCGTCCCGGGCGTGAGGGGAGCGAAGGGCTCCTCGGGTGGGGGCGGCTGTGAGGGGGGCGAAGGAGCCTGGTGCTTCGAGGGGGCTGCGGAGGGGCCGTCAGGCTGGGGCTCTGCAGTGGGGGCGGCTGTGGCGGCTGGCAGCGATTTGCGCTGCCTTCCACTGAGTGCTGGAGGGCTGCGCGGGGCGGGACCTGTGACCCACACAGCTCTCTCGAGCAAGGAGGAAACATTCTGATCTGTGGCGTCGTGTACAGGGGAAGTTAGAGAGGGGTGACACCCAGTGTGGGTGTCTGTGAGGGAGTTTCAGGCGCGGTGTGTTCATTGTAGGTGGTCTAGGAGACAGCCCTGATGCTCTCTGTAGAATTTCCTGGCAGGGAAGCAATTGCACAGCTGTATTTGCGTTTATTTTATGCAACAGCAGAGGAGGGCCATTAGATTTGTTAATGTAAGTTTTTCACATTAGGGACCAATCCCATCACTGAGATACAAAAACTGTTTCAATCATGACAGTAAAAAGATGTTAATGAAATGCAGTTTTGTAACCACTGTTGTGTTTTTAATTTTGTGGATTTCTGGGGTGATTCTGCTGAAATAGTAACATCACTTGAATAAACACAAGATCTCCAGGGGAAAAAAAAAATAATTAATTTGCAAATACCTAGATCCTACTTTATTATAATTGTTTATTGGAGCCTGGTCGTTGGCTGTTTGACCCTTGGTAGGAGACACGTAGATGGAAGGTATGTTTTCAAACACTTAAATCCTGCAGTAGAATGAGGATTCCTCTAGCAGACGTAGAAACTAAAACAGTGGGAAAACAGAGAAATGGGGCCTTGAGGAAGGGATAGCGGTAAGGTCTGGTCTGTGAGCGGATCGTGATGAAGGAACTGTATTTTCCTCCTAATGAGATAACATTTGTTCATGGAAGGAGAAGGAGGAGGTTGGTTTGTTATACGAAGCAGTCATCTGTGAAAGATGAAGAGGAGCTGAAGGAAGGTAGAAGAGCTCTGTCCTGGTGTGGGGTTATGTTATTGCACGGTGCTGCTCCCTCCAGAGGTAGCACAGGCTCACGTTTCACCTTGGTCCCACAAAACTGATCACTTCTCTGTTGGCAAGACCAAAGCACGTAGTGTGGCTGAGCTGCTGTTATAGCATGGTTGTTAGATGTGTTTGCTGCTGGGGAGTGGGATTTTGTTCTTTTTCACTTGGAGCAGGGCTTGTGTGCAGATTTACTGTGTAACATACAGGAATGCTAAGATGGCCAGGATCTTGGAAAGCTGTTGTGAAACATACCTTGGCATAAAAATACAGCTCAGTTGTTTATGTTTACTGTATCTTTGCAGTGTAAACTGTTAATAAGTACTTTGGTTTCTTTGTTATTCTATTTTTTTAAAACACAATTACTTCCACTAATTTGTTTTAATATTATTTCATTTAATAAATCATCTTAAGAACAGTTTTACTTCCATACTGAAAGGAGAAGTTATGCCCTGGTGGCATTGTGTGTACGACAGAAGTGTTCTGTCTGCATTGACATGATGCATTTTGTACAGTACAGACCTGAAACCACTGCAGCTCACAGTGTGCATGAACACTTGCTTTGCTGAATGAGGTTGGGAATGTTATGTCATGAAGTTCTTGTCTGCATTGGAGGTAGATTTTTGCCTTTCGCCACGTGCATCCTTCAGATTCAGGCTTATGAGATGTGTAATATCTGACTTTTTAAAAACGAATTTGCGTGTGACTTTTCTTGGGAACAGAAGATACAAGAATTATTTTGTACAATATTTAAGTGATGAAACCAAGATTAAGTTTTGTATTCTAAATCAAATTATGGTGGTAGTTTTATAGCAGGAGCTATGTAAACAAAACTACTCTTGTTTGTAGTAAAAAGCACTAAGTAATCAACAGACACTAATGTTTACAAATGAAAACAAAAAAGAATCAGCAAAACAAGAAGGAAACCTCTGTCTAGGATGAGGAAAGGTACTCTCCAATATAAAAGGAATTTGGGAGCTGTGCTGCTGCAGTAGATCGAAAAGGCAACATCCAAGTGTTCAGCAGGAGGTGAGCGCAGCCAAGGTGTGCTTCTCCTGAGTTCTCCCTGACACCACTCCTCTGGCAGTATTTAAAATGTGCTTCAAAGAAAGAAATGATCACAGCAGTATGTAGTAGTGGTGACAGCACAGCTGCCCCAGGTTAAATGAAGTTCCTTGTGAGCACTTCCACCCATGGAGCTCCAGGGGGCTTGTGGAGAGGAGCTGAAAATGGGGTTCAGGTTTGTTGTGACCCTGAGTATGGCGGCAGTTTCATTACAGTATGAATTATACTGATTTAAAATGGAACTTTATTAGGCTTTATCTTCCCAACAGCTGCAATTAATCTCTGTATCAAGTGTCAGGAGTGTAATGGGTCTGATTCATGTCTTCCTTAAGTGTAGTGTAAATTGGGAGTGCCTGCTGGCAGGCACAAAAGATTCCATGTGAAAAAATTATTCTAGCTGAGGGAAGACAGACAGATATTTGAATAAACCTAGATATTTAAAAAATAGTATTGTGAAGAATGTTTTGATATAGTTATATATGAAATATGTTTAACTGTGCAACATGTAATAGTTGTTACCACTGTGGTGATTGCACTCATCCTGACAGCATGTGATTTTACAAAGGTGTAGGGAAAATACCAGTGAATGAACAGGTAACTGCCACTGGCTCAGCAGCTCTCTCTGGGTTATTGACTTGTGGCATGGGAACCCCCTCTTGCACTCACATGCACTGCTGCCTTGCAGAAAGGACTTCATGTGAAGTTTTCCAAAAGTGACCTATTTGAGGCCCTATAGCTAATGATTTAGAAACTAGCTTACCACATTCAAAAATCCTGTCCTAAATCTGGCAGTTTGAGGAAGTTTCAACACATCCGTTTTTCCAAAAGATGCAACATCTTGGGAGCCTTCTGAGGGCAGAAATTATACGAAATTGGGTCTGAAAAAGGAAAAGAAAAAAGTGCTGGTAGCCAGTCACTTTGAGAAAGCTGTTTTCAGTGTGGTGGTGGGACAGGTGGAGGTCAGGCCAGAACTCCTGTAACTTGGCTATCCAGTAAATGTCTCCTGTTGGGTATGCAGCAGTGGCATATAGCACCTGATTTGAACACTGTATCATATTTCTGTTCAGTTTGGCAAAATTTGAACGATTGCAGCAAACAGGTGTTCAGTAGAGGTGAAGTTGACTTGCTGAGCTGAAAAAGAATGTTTGTAGCACAAAAGAGAGCTTGGGTTTATACATACTAAGCACAGAAATGCTCGTGGAGGCAGGAAGCTTCAACCTTCAGATAATGGCCGTAAAAGTGACTTTTGAGATAGGTAGGTTCCACAGTAATTCAGAATCAAGGGCCGCTTTCCAAAAGCTCGTCTTTCACCTTTCTTTTTCTTATTTTTCCCAACTGCAGTGGTGGCAAGTGGACACAGATAACAGCCCCAGTCAGTGATGAGATGCAACTTACAAAAGCTTTGATACTGCCGGCTGGGGCCAAAGGCTCTGGGAGCAATGCCGGACTGGCCCGCCTGGTGGCAAACTGCTTTCACTGGAAGCGCCTCTCCATGTAGAAGGTTTGGGAACAACAAATGTGCTTACTGGGATTTCAGACTGTAATCTCATCTCAGTGCATTTTCAAGTTTTCAGGGACCTGCTCATCCCTCTCGAATAGCAATGTTTCCTCCCTCAGACACTGTCTTAACTAACGTGGAGTCTGTGCTGCAGAGATCGTGTATGTGTCTCAAACTTCACAGAGTTTCTGGGGGGTTCTTCATCTTTTCCCTGTAGTCCTGGAACTGCAGAAATCAATATTCTGCCATCTGTAAATCCTTTGTTCCCCTTTTCACCGGGGCTTTATCAGCTTTGTAAGTGAAGGAGGGAGGGGGGAAGAGGGCGTTGAGAGCGCCATTGTCCCTTCTCTCGGGAATGATCTGGAAGTACTATGCAAATCTTCATTTGAAGACCCTGGGAACTGGGGGAGGGCTTTAGCTGCGAGCTCAGTAGGAGGGGAGCTCTGCATCCCTGCTCACACACTCCTGCTTAGCGCAAGGGGCTGGGAAGAGTTTTTTGAACTGGCAGAAGAGACGTTTTGCGTTTTGTGCACTTCTGTGAGGCTTTGCGCCCCTTACGTCTCCTGCTTTGTGCCTTTCTCTGCCTGCATCTTCTAAATGTTTGCATAAGAATTGGGTAGGGGAGAGATCTAAGAGCTGTGATTAGCAGTGTTGAAGTCTGAACTGTGTAGGGTGCAGCACCCCTCCCACCTCGCACCCTGGAGACTCCCACCAAGCACTGATGCAGCTCCCGCAGTGCCAGTGCACATACAGCCCGACTGCTGGCATTAGCATAGAGCACGGGTGCAGTTTCAGTAAGCAAATGATTCAGCTGGTCAGGAGTAGTGGAGTAAAATAATTTGCAGTTCTCAAATTATCACGTTGTAGCCAGGTCTTAAAAAGCCTTCTCTTACAGGGGCAAAGACTCGCAGAGCAGTACCTGCTTTGTGAAACCCTGCAGTCTGTCCTGGTTTGGCTCAGAGCTCTGTGTCACCTGTTTTGTATTAGGGCAGGGTCACACTAACTGCTAGTTTCCTGGAAGCTGTGTAGGGTCCTTCTTAGGCCTCATGGAAGGGGAAATGTCCTGACTGCATAGACACAGGAGTGAACAGGACAGTGGGGGAGGGAAAGTACAGATTCATATCTAGGCATTTTTGTGTTTGTAAGCTACTGTGAAGGCAGTCAGCCTTTTTGGTTTTCTGACTTTCATTTTAATGAAATCAGTTCTATTGTTTATTTTTTAAACTTGGAGGGGTTTTGTGTTCCAAGAAACTAAAAATTGCTTTTGGACAATGACAGCCCTGGAAAATGCAACACTGTTCTCTCTCCTGGGCAGCTGAGAAGATGCAGCCTTTTAAAAATCTCACCTTCTGTCAAAACCATAGGAACGCATGCCATGAGATCTGATTCTCCGTTACCTCCAGTGTTATATCCAGAGCAACATAAAACACTAGTGTTTTGTTCTGCAAGTACTGTACTGTTTTGTAGAGGGGAAATACATCACAAGCATACTCTCATATGCACAATTGGATCTGAATTCCTCATTTTTTTTCAGGTGTAACTCTAGAGTGACTTAGCTGACTTGGGCAAACGTTTCCTGAAACCATGCTAGCTGGAAACCAGCCTGGATGTGCCCTCTCCCTCCTGTAAGTGCTGCCACTACCTGTGCACAGTCCATGTAGATGCTTTTCTGAGTACACTTGTTTGCATGTGGGCTGGTGTATGAATGCACATTCTTCTCATCCGTTCTTCACATATGCATGCAAACACACGCATTCTGAAGTGCACACATCCATTCCCTTTTTATCATATACATTTGTGCATATACACAGACCTTTTTGAAAGCTCCTGTTTTCAGAAAGGTTTTATTTATAGGTCCTGCCTGGTTCTGAATGTGAGAGGGAGAAAGCCCCTCAGAGGGTTCCTTTCATGTGTAAATCAGCCTAGGCTGAGAGCATTGGGGTCACTGAGAGGAGGATTTCACTCTTAATTACTCAGAGAGAAAGCAGGCAGGGGACTTTCTCAAACTAACAGGGCTGTTCTCTGCTGGGGAAAGCAGCTTGAGACACCCAAGTTTCTCTTGCGTCAGATGTTGGGCTTGGATTTGCAGGCCTCTTTTGCCAGTAGCAAAAGCTGGTGTCTATGTGGCGCTTGGAACAAACAGTTAAGCTTACAGCCTGGCTTACTTATTAAAGGTGGTTATGTTCATTCTGATAATTGAGTGTTCTTTGGCGACCAGTGGGAGAACTGACCTAGTCTGCTTTATATTTATGCCACTTTTATTGAAAAATCATCCTAGTCTGTGCTGCATATATCTGTGACTCCACCTGAGGACCTCACTATTCTTCAAGACCTCAAAGCTCCCACCTCTCTGCCAAGTAGAAAAATGTTATTGTCTAGAGATTAGTGCAGTGAGCAGGACTCTGAACTTGGACTTAAAATCAGCACTGAATTCCCAGTTCAGCTACCAAATGCCTTTGTGACCTTAGCAGTGAAACAGCATGACCTTATCTCTACAGTGGGGATGTTATGAACAAAAGTCAATATGGATTGTGATACTCTTGATAATAAGGCTCTGAATGTCCAGGGAATGTGGGTGATGAGAATGCCTGAAGAGATGTGTCTTTTTCCTGGAACGCAATGTGAGCACATGGATTCCCTGGCTGAAGTAGCATTGTCACCTTTCATGTCTGGAAATCTACTGCAGGGATGGGAACACCCTGGTCACAAGCCACTCAGTTCTCTGCAGGAACTGCAGGACCTGCTTGTACAGCCACACACTAAAACAAAGTGCAGCTGTCATTAGATGCAGGGAAGAGGTATGTGCTGTTGAGTGCACGTGCACACACAAACAAGTCTATTTTTTAACTTCAGTTGACTCAATTAAATTTACATCTTCTCATCTCTGTCTCCTTTCCATATGGCCTCTGCTTTTCTAGATAGGAAATAAATGCTTTGAAGGCTGAACTTTCCCAACCTGTGCACAAACAGTCCCCTGGAGCACTGATAGAGGATTCTTGAAGCTGTGTTAGTTCAGCTTGCCTGGGAAGGCAGAGGTTTTAGTCTGGGGGCACCTGTTTGAGGAAGCTCACAGTAGCTGTGGGGGCCATCGACAGATGAGGTCAGCAGTCTGAAGTGTCTGCAGAGGTCACAGAGAAATGAATGGGTCATTTCTTTTGCAAATGAAGAGCTGCAGCCTGGAGCAGCCTTCACAGAGCCCAGCATGTGGGTCCAGGCTGTTCCTTTTATGAGCTGATGGAAATGGGGCCCAAAAGGACTTCCCTGATGGAGTTCTGTCACAGCCTTTGTTATCTTTCCCTCCTGCAGCATGCACTGGGCATAGAATATGGATTGGGGGTTATCCTGGCTACCAGCACAGTCAAAAGGATGAAGGCTTTAGGGCTGCATAGAAAACCTAAGGCTGCAGGGTATCCTTATTGCGATTCCACAAGGAAAATCTTGTTTTAACATGTAGAGAACACATGTTTCTTTCTGCTTTAGTGCTCCTTTTTACCCAACCTACACTAAAATGAGTAAATCCAAGGACTGCTTTAAAGTAATACACATAACTCAGTAATAGGGATTAAAAAGCCTGAATTCTATTCTTCATTCTGGTGGTAAATTGTCAGTTGCTTTGACAAAGCCCTATCAATGCCTCATACCTCACTTTTTCTGAAAAAACACTGAAGAATCATAGTGTATTTGTTTTTCTAAAACATTTTGAGGATTTGGGATGCAGAGTGCTTTAAATAAGCAAAATGTTGCTGTTAGCAGCACTGTCAATGGAATCTCTTTTTGCCTACTTTTTATGCAACAATATTACTTTCTCCAAATTGTTGATTTAGAATTAATTTTATGTTCTATAAACAATGTCAGTTCTGTCTTGCCATTTGCTCTTTTGCTTCTTTGCAGACCACCAGGGAACTTCTTTTTTCTGTGACATTGCAATGGAAGGTGGAGACACCTCGAGGAGAAGGTCGAAACAGACAACAGCAATTACAGTCAATAGCATCTATGACTTGAGAAAGTCTTGTCTCAATTACAGGTTTGTGTGTGATCTGTGTATGCCATCTTTACTATGTACGGGTATTTAAAATAGTGCAGAACATAGAAATAACTTCTTTCTAGGAGCTCTTCGAACAGCTTCCTGTTATTACCGTCTTTTCACAGCCTCGGGGGGTAGAGGAGGGTGGGGGTTTTGAGGGGAAGGCAGCTAAAGTTGGAGTAACTGTGCTCAGGGTTTTTTCTCACTGCTGTTATGTTACAGCTGTGACAAGCAGCTAGAAGTTGGACCAGTCCTTGGACTGCCAGAACTTGCACTAAAGAGGAAAGTTAACTTAGGTTTAGATTGTATTTTTCAGCCTCTGCTATGTGTGAAGGATTGTTTTTATGGCTTTTTATCTCCATTTTCCTTTAGAAACCTCAGGAGGACTGTCCACCCTTCAAATCTTTTTTGATGAGTTTTAAATGCATGATATGGAGCACAGCCACTCTCAGTAGGTTGCAGAAAGAGGACATAAAATCATAATGTCTTCAGAGGGGTAAGCGTGTTCTTTATTTCCTAGAAACATCAGCCAGGTTTATACCACTTTGTGTAAGAAATGCTGCAAGAGAAGATGAATGTTTCTGAGGGCTCGGGGACAGTTTCATGTTTGGGGTAAGGCTGAGGTTAGCCATGGAGCCTGTGTCCAGACAGTAATTTGACAGCAGACATGGGCACACAGTAATGCAGTCTCTGAAAATCACAGAAGCCTGCTGAGTTATTGTGAGCTGGAGGAGCTTTTCTGTTTGTGGGCACATGGGTCTGCCTGCCTCACATTGTGCAGACATAACTGAGACATAAAGGAGGCTGGCAAATTGCAGAACACTGATGGAAGGGGGGGCAGGGGGCTGGAGAAGAAAAGTTAGGAGTTTGTAGACAAAGGGCTCAAGCCTAGTTGTGAATTCCTAGCAGGTAGTTGGTCTTTAAATGAAAGCATTTGTCAAGTAATGTACTGATTTAATGTGGGAATTGGATGGATATCTGCAAAGGTTTTTGCACCCTGTTTGCAGTGTGATTACAAGAGATGTTAACAGAGAAAGCAGTTTTACTTTCTACCAAGGTGTGTATTTGTTCATGTACCTAAATGATATCGGGCAGGCAGCATAGATGACATCATACAAATTGAGACACAAATTACATTACGGGGTATGGGCATATTATGTCCTCATGGGTTATGACTGATTGTAAATAAGGCATATAACTTGCTTTCCTTCTGGTAGTACCCCACCATACCATGAGCACCATTGTTGGATTATCCAGTGCCTTGCATCAGCCACACTTTGCTGCATCTGGCTGATGGTCTATATCCCATCCCACAGACCCACTCCTGTTTTACCTGGGCAATGCACCCTACTTGGCATCTCCATTACGAGCAGTACCTTTCTTGGACCCTATGTTATCTCCTTTCACTGCCCTGGGGCCTCAGTGTCATGTAGTGGCTTGGCTGTACTTGGCAGTGGCTGTAGGCGGACTGCACGTCCATGCTGTGCCGGTCACCAAACTGACAGAACAGCCGCATTCCACAGAGCACAGCCAGCAGCTCCTCTCTGGTCAGTGTGTATCCCCTTTCTGTGCCTGTCAGGACTCTTAGGGAATGTAAGAAGCTCTGAGTGGCAGGTTGGTAGGCAGTCCCCCTACACTGCCACCAGTATCCTACCACAGCTCTAGCTGATGCACAGGGTTGTAGTATTTTGAGATTGGTCCCTCCTTTCAGTTTTTTGTTTTTTGTTTCTTTTTTTTTTTTTTTTTAATTTTCAAAAGCCTCTTCTTGGGCCATTCCTGTGCTGGAGCCTTGTGAATTAATTGCCAAGGACTCACAAGTTGCTGATAGATACGTGGAGAAACTAGCTACATGGTTGGCCGTTCCTGTAAATCATTGGACTCTTCATAAATTTCATTCTTGGCTTTTCCTTAAAAGCCCTCTCCCAAACTGGACACAAGACAATGGACACCAGCAGGCACAGCTCCCAGTGACTAGGATATTGTCACATATCCAAAAGCTTGGTGGGAGGAGCAGACATTAGGTCTGAATTCATCCTGGCAGGGACATTTGGCTGAGAGGGGAGGAAAAGAAGGTCAGAGGCAGCTCCAAGGAAACGGCTTTAGTTTAAAGTGTTTCATTAGAGTTTTCACACTGGAAATATAAAGTACAGGAATACAATTGCTTGGTAGAGGAACCTGGTTTAGTAGCAGTCCTGTATACATTCGGTACTCTATACAGGAGGAGACAAAATATATCCCTGGCATCTCAGCAAAATTAGAGGTTTGTCTTGTAGATGTGACTTTTTTCCAAAATAGCTTACATAATTTGGAGATTTTTTTTTATCAATATTGATAAAAGATGTTATTTTTCCAGTAGACCATTGCTTTCTGCTGTAGCCATGCAGACTTTGCAGGGCAGGCTAGCTTTATCTAAGCAGTGGATCAGTGTCAGTACAGCTGGAAACACTGCTGGGATGTTCATCTCTCATTTTCCCTTCTCCTTTGTGTCTGTCTGATTTTTGCTGTTGTAACTCAATAAGATAATCATGGTTACCCTTTTCCAAAGGCTTAGTCTTTCCCTCTGTTGATTTGACAAGCTCCTTTTTTGAAGATAGTTCTTACCTGCCACTTGAGCTTTGTTGCCTCAGGATGTTTTACCTCCTCATGCAGGCAGGGTTGAGAGTTTGGACTAGCACACACACCTGCAAGATCTAGTCAATGCAGGGTTATGGCAAATGTCACCAGTGAGGAGGTAGCAAATGGGATGCCAGTATGTCTTGTCTGATTTCTTCTTTTGGGACATAGCTTGACCAAAGAACTGAGCGGTTGAAGTGTCACAGAGGAGTATGTAGTGTGGATAGATTTTTTTATGGGAAGCCAGGATTAGCTTATATTTGTTTTGTTCTGTTTTAAGTTATAGGTGAAAAACTTGGAGGGGCTTTGTCATTATATACCAGTGGCAGTTTTAAATTTACTCTGGCTTAGAAAGAAGTGTTTCCCAACAGACTGGCAAAACAAAGACACACAAACAGCACCCTGCAAAGGTCATTCCTGACCAGACCCTGAAACAGCTGAAGTACAGATTGTCAGTCTTTCACACTGCCAACCCCTGTGGCATGTTTGTACCAGGTTCTTTTGTCAGCGCTTCAAATAATTTATATGTTCTTCACTGAGTGTGCTGGGCAGCGTGTTGTCAGGGCCCTAGGTGCACCAACTGACTCTGCAACCTCTTCCCCCTGTCCTACAGGTTTGGCTGCCTGTGTTCAAGATCTGCCCTGGTATGGTGGAGTGTAACCTGGGATCAGAGTGCTGTGAAAAGAGCTGTGTGCCAAAGAGCTGGGAGAAGCCTGCTGGGGCCTCCCCACTTCCCTTGGGAGCCACAGCACAGAGCTGCCCTTGTCCTCGGTGCTCATCTAGGGTAGGCTGTCAGGGTGTCTGTGCCTGGCTGTGGACCTTGCTGATCCTGGCTTGCTCACTTGACTTTCTGGCTTGGCTTCAGACCGGGCTCATCCCTCTGGGCTTCTCTGACGATCATTGGGCTACTGGCTAAATGTGGTTACTATCTCCAGACCTGCTCCGCTCCTTTTGGTCACCGTGGCACTGTGCCACTTTACACTGAGGTCCTGTCCCTGCCGGCCCCGCTGTCAGCCCAGCTCGCCTTTGCTCCGTGCTCCCCAAGCTGCTCTGCAGCTGCTGCACTGCCCTGCTCCCGGCATTCACCGCAGGCACATCATCTCCATCTGTGTGAGAAGTCAGAGAATAAATGGGCAGTGATATGAGAGATATGGTGGCATCAGGGTGATTTATTGCTATGACAAATAAGAAAGATGTGGCATTAGCTTTGCCTCCCTTCATTCCCAACTTCCTGAAAAGACAAACCAAAATTCGGGTCCACTGGTGAGAGCTCAGACCACCAAGAAAACAGCCGGCAGGAGGAGCTCTCTAGACATTTCGCTGCATCATTTTCAGACAGTCATAGCTGCGTATTTCAAGGGCATCGCTTTAGATCTGCTTTCTTGGGACTTCCTTAGAGACAAACCAGCAGCAGCAGAAGACGGAGGAAACTTCGTGATACTGCAACTGAACAGCTCCAGTGATTTTTATTTATTTATTTGTTTGTTTGTTTAGAGGCTTCTCAGGTTCCTTCTCCTACCATGATGCCTTTCTCTGTCATTTGAGAAACTTGTGGTGTTCATGAAGATGTTGGGGATTCTGTTTGGTCTCTCGAAGGGACCAAGTGCTTTATCTTCCAAGAAAGCTAGTGTAAGATTTTGTGGACAGCATTCTAGCCACAGAGTAAAGAATTCCAAAGCAATGATTGTCTTTGCGTAGAGAGATATCCTTCTGGATTTCTCATGACCTCCAAGGGGACATGTAATCAAAGAGCTCTGAAATGTATCAATGCCACTGTGAATGTTGACCTGACAAAGTTATTCAAATAGTTCTGTCTCTTCCTATGCAGTTCATCTTTTTCTTCTGTAAGAAGCAGGTACAGAGGACAGTAGTCACTCTTTTGCACAGCACTGTGTTCTCATTAGTTAGGTGCAAAGTATCACTCTGCTTCTTCAGGCCAGTCCTGCACTCCTAAATTGCATGGGCCCCATGGCCGTGCCTCTGCACTGCCTCTAAAAGAGAATTAAGATTTTCTTCTTTTTTTTTTTTTTTTTAATTGGTGAATTTTTTACTGTCTGTAAGTCTGGCCCTCATTTAGTTATCTAAATGGGAACTAGATGCTTTCTGCTCTTGAAGTTGCTGTAATAATTATTTTGATTCTGAATGTGCCAGAAACTATTCTAATGCATATCAGTGTAAATTAAGTCAATAGAGATTCCTCAAATTTATCCTGGTGTTCAAGAGAATGGAATTCATGCACTTCAATTTACAACTTATTAAGTGATCAGAATTAATGAACTCGCAACAACCTTTTCTGTTCTTGTTTACATGTTTTTTTCCTGTTCACTCATAATGTACATGATTTAGAAAAAGCGGAGAGTTGAAAAGGCAGTGTGTGGGTCAGATATGTCCCACGGAGCACAGCATTGTGCTTCAGGCTGTAATCATATTTGCAAAGCTGCTATGTAGAAATGGCACCTTCTGACTTAGTTGATGCATGGAAACCCAGCTTGATTTTCAGAACCCTCTCTGCATCCTGAAACCTAGAAAAATATTTATACTGAGGAACAGGGAAGGTGCTCTTCACAGTCACTGGAGTTTAACAGATACAGAATAGTTCTTTATTTCTTTTTTTTTTTGAAAGTAATTTTTCAGTGTAGTACCATATTTCAGTCTGGAGGTTGGCAATAATGCAAACCATCGGATCCACCTTTCCTTTTATTCTGAGACTTGGAAGTCACTTGGGATGTCACCAAGAAAACCTCACATAAACCCTCTTTTTCCCAAGACCAACTGAAGGTTATCCTACTGTGATTCATTCAGTTCAAGGCTGGAATGATGAACGGTTCCCTTTAATTTTCATAGTGTTTAAGGCTAAATTTGTGAGGCTGCATGCTCATCTGGACATCATTTCTCTCTGACTTCATGGAACAGGACAACTTTCAAATGCTCCATCTGATCCATTGCAAAAATTTCAGAGGTTTCCTCTTATTACTGGGAGAGAGAACACCACTAATTTGTGAAAATACTGTGAAATCAAAAAGGAAAAATAGGGGAGCAGCAGTAATTTGGATACTACTTCATTTGTAGATAAAGCGACTGGGTGATAGCACTCGCATACCAATACCTTTATCTCATCTCTGTCTATCACTCTAGAAAAGTTATTGTGTGAGCACACTGGAAGATCTGTCACCAGGTAAATAGATGACTCTTATGCAAGCTCTGCAGAACTGCGGAAGATTGATGATCTAAGGCAGGAAGGAAAAAGGATGGGGGACACACAGCAACCCCGATGTGAGGGAGTTGAGGTTACCCTGCTACAGCAGTAGTAGTATAGGTGTGCACAGAGACCCTGATAGCAACATTAGAGGACCTATTTAGTCAGGGATAGGAGGTGGATGGGACATTAAAATACTGTTGTAGAAGAGAATTCCTGATGAGGAAAATGTTGGGATCGCAGCAACTCATACACAGCCTGCTTGGGGGCATGCACATGCCCCAGGCATTGGAGGGGGAGCTGAGAAGTTTGGAAAGATGACATATGAGGCATTTGTGCAGGGGGGGAGTGGGGCTTATGGAGTAAATCCCTGTGTGAGAGAGCAAAATCTTCAAAGGGGTGGCTGTAGATACTGAACTGCCCTCAAGAAATGAGAAATAGAGGGCAGGCCATCCATGTCACACTGAGCAGCTATGCTGTCAGAGTTGCTGAGAGCAAGGGGGCCAAGGCAGCAAATGGGAAAGGTTGTTTCAAACCATATGGACTGGTTCTGACCAATGTATGACTTGCTGAAAACCAAAGAAACTGGTTAGTAGCTCAGGCAGGCTAGAGTGGAGCCCAGGGCTGAATAGACCTCCAAGCAGGGCCACACAAACAGCTGACCGTGAGTTTGGTCCCTGCAGAGCAGCTGGAACTGACTGCCTGGCTTCTCCTCTCTGTGCTGGTGTGGAGGTGGTGCATCTCGGGCTACTGGGCAGTTCCTGTGCATGAAAGGACTGTGCAGAGGCAGGTAGTCTGTGGAAGTTGATGTATGACAAATTCCATTTTGTTTTTACCTCTTTGTTGCTTATGCACTTGCATACCAGTGTTAAAAGATAAGGGACACCCTCAGAGGAAAGAGTAGTGAAGTGATCCTGAGCTCACTCTGAAGATTTGTAAAAATGGGGTGAAGAGAGCCCATGGTTACATCTAAGGAAGGTAGAGTACGCTGGATTCACAGGACTCTGCTTTAAGTACAACTGACTTATAATTCTGATGGAAAAACAAACATGTCTTAATACAAGTTTCAAATACTGCTCTATTTTCTGAATTTGTTGGCTTTTTTTACTTCCCTTAGTGCTGAGTGTTCAAGTCCACATGGCAACAACTTAACAGCACTGCTGGTATTTCCAAGTTCTGTTTCTTTAAGAAGTTCATAAAACTTGTCACAGTACCCCAGTAAAGCTCTTTCTGCTGTGCTATCTAATCCAAAGTAGTTTGTATCAGATTTATGTTCTGGCAGCTCTGTGATAAACTTGGACTCTACCACATTACAAACACAAAAGATTACTTAAAGTTGTTGTTATTGAATTTGAAGGACTCTTTTGTTTCATGGAGTCCACACCCTCTTACCAGGGTTGTGGTCTCTAATGGCTCTGCACCTCATACACTAACAAATTTAGGCAGCCTGTAATGAAGACATTGCCACCAGTGACAATTTAATATTTTGGTAGATTTAACCTGTTCTTTCTGTTAAAATTGTACATGTCAAAAAACACAGTAGAAGATATAAAGCACTGGAGAATTCAATGAGGTCTGGTATATTGACCAAAGGGTCTTTGAGATGTAAATGTTAGGCTTTTCCTCTCTCAAATAAGTCCTCTTAAACCCGATGTCTCCATTTATAAGGCTCCCCTGGAACCCTGGATCAACTTTGTGAAGTTCCTAGAAAAAGACAATTATGCAGAAATTATCAAACTCTTGATTCCCCTGGTGTGACGCCTTGCAAACTTGAGCCTGAAAACATAAAAGACTGAAACTATGATGTCAGTCACACCCTTAACACAAAGATTATAGGTGTAACCAGAGGAGGAATTCATCACAAAATCTCTCTGATCTGAAATCAAGCAGAACTCTGGAAACAGCTGCCAAATACCCAAGGCCAGAGACCTCTCATCCTGGGGCCGGTTCTCATGTTATCTGGTGCTCTAAAGCTTGTTCATTCCCCAGTTTATGGATAGAGGGAAGATTACTGACATCCATTGCAGAAGTTGGAATGTTTTATTTGTTTTTTTGTTAAAATGAATCTACATTTGTCTGAAGGAATAGTAGTTTTTCTCACTGTGACTTCAGGAGAAAAAGATACTTACTATCTCCACACTTCCAAGTGAGAAGTTCACCTTAGAGCATCAGGTGTACTCCTGGGGTTGCAACTAACAGCGACTACCATCATTAATAGTACAATGGTCTGTACTGTCTAACTGCCCCTGGAGCAAAAGATCAGTTTAATCATGAACGAATTAATCTTTAAATGACTTGTCTTGAAAATATTACATGTTACTTGTGTGGGACCATGCAACCTGGTCTCTAAATTGTTTCTGTACTCATGATCATCACTATTTTCCCCGTTCATTGTCTGATTCTTATGGCATTTGTAAAGCATTCATGGAATTTGGGGTTTTCTTCTAATGTTATATCCCAAACACATGACTCTCTAGCTCAGTGGGACTCTGGTGGAGGGTCACTCTGTGTTGCTTTAAGACCTGTTGGAAGTCCAGGCATGCAAAGGCAGCAGTCGAACAGGGCAGGGACAGGCAGAGGACACAGTGAGCTTCTCAGCTGGCTTCTTGTTTCCAGCCCCATACTCTGTACTGTTGTGTTCTGCTGTGAGAATCCTTCATGTCTTCTTCCCTTTGGGTCTTTAATGCTAGCAGATGGAAATCCAGCTCAACTTTCAAAAACTCTGAATAATTTACTAAGAACAAAATTGGTGGGTCTGAGAGCTGATTCCTTCTCTCTCTCTTTCTCCTTTTCTCTCTTCAAACTGCCTTTCAGAGGCAAAGTTTCTAATTACAGGTCAGGGAGGCAGGTTTAATCACACAGCAGAGCCCTTGATGCAGCATTAGAGAGTGTTATTTATACACCTGAATTAAGAGGGATGCAGCATTTCAGTTGAGAAGAATAAGGTGGTTTTCAATTTCACTCTTTTTATGTGAAACACCACATCAGATTCACTGGGCTTTTTGACCTAAATTATTGGGATTCTCGGTAACTAACAAGTGACTGCTGTGCAGAGCTAGAGCAAAAAGAAGCAATAGACAGAGAACTGCTCATATAGCAGGGGAACAACAGAAGTAGGATGTATCAGAAAAAGCCGGGAGGGGATAGAAAGAGGAAGCCATTGAGAAAACTGAACAGGGTTAAAATACACACATGCAGCTGTTTATCCCAAGGAAGAGTTTTGGAAAAAGGTAGCATCCACAGAAACTGAAGGGCAGTCTGCAGCGTGTTGACATGCACTCAGATACCTCAAAATATTGTTGTTCTTTTGAGGCCAAGAATAGAGAGGTGGAAATGAAACCTGAAGCGTGTGAGGAGTCCCTTGTACTCTTTGCAGCAGGGAAAGGGATCCCTGCACCATCAGCACTCAGAGTCACTGTCAGCTTTTACTGAAAGAAGTGGGGAGTCCTGGACGGGATTGTTCCTGCAGTGTTGTGAGTTCCAATGTGACTTATTTACAGCAGTAGAGAATATTCATTTTTTCTGCTATTTTGGATATGAAACTCACAATCCCTGTAGACTTTCATCCGGTTTTATCTCTGTCTCTAATTTGTGTAGTTTGGCTTTGTGTTTAATTTTTGCTTGGCTGCTTGGAAAGTCTGTAAGAATTTCTAGGAGCTTTCTGGGCTTTTTTCAGGGTTAAAAAATGGGAGATGTGCCGGCGCATCTGATTCTATACTGAACTGACTGAGATCCCAATGCCTGGAGTCATTGTTTGGGCTCTGCGGTAGGTTTGTGTATCTCCCACTAGGTAGATGTGTTGGGCCACATGATGGGAAAGGGCCCCCAACACTAGGCTATTCCTTCTAGCAGCTGTTCTCCTGGTTGTAGTTCATGGGTAAGGCACCTCTCCCACAGTGTGCCCAAGTACCTGCAAAGCTATGAAGCTCAATGTGGCCTGCCAAACCAACGTATCTGCCACGTGAATATCCCAAAGCGACAGAGAGAGAGAGTTGCTATGCTTCAAAATAGCTAAAATGCAGGTTCTGTGGGAATGGAGCAAAGCATGGCAGCCAGAATACTGCGTCCTATGCTCAGGATGTGAGACTTGGCAAGGCCTTGAGCTCCAAGAAGCTGTATTTTGCTGCGAGTGGTAGATTTCTAGAAGCTGTACTCAGCAGTCTCTAAGTTAAGCTAAGAGACAAATTAATGCAATGCAGTCAGTACTTATAAGATATATTACTTAAGGACAAAAAAAGGGTTATCTGCTTCTGTAAATTTACTTTCAATCCCAAGATAATTTTTTTGTTTAGTATATGTAGACTGTGAACCTTGTTCCTATGTATGTCTGCAAATCATTACCACAGTGCTGGAGCAGTATGTGCAGGGAATAGAGACTGATTTACCAGGTACAGAGCATCACAGTGCTCTGGCCATTGGATCTGTCAGGCTGGGTCTCCGGCAGTGTCAGGATCCAAAACTGGGTTGCAAGCTGGATGGAAACTCAGTTGCAGAAAAGAGGTCACAAGCCTGAGAGAGCAAGCAAAAGAGAAGTAAGTCTTCAGCAGAGAAAGATGGAAAATACTGCTCTCCTGGATGCAGTGGGAGCAGCCCAGCTATGCTTCCTAGGCTTTGCATTGCCAACAGGTTTTCTACCAGCCTGCAAAGGAGGAGGATGTGAGGTCTGTGTGCCCTCTCCCTGTGACATCCCTGTTATTACTGTCACATGCAGGTGGCTGACACCCACCGTGACAGAGGCAACCGAGGGTTTGGTTTGTGCTCTACTAGACAACTTGTCAGGTGTGTGACAGTCAGGCTGCCCTTCCTGTGGGAGGAGATTTGAACAGCACTGTTGCTTTTTGGTATGTATGTGGTTTTCTCCTCCAAAAATAGCTATCTGTCGAAGTGGGAAGATTTCAGAGATGGGAGAGGATTAGCAGTGATGACATGGATGGTCATATTTCAGGGCAAACACCTGTAAATCAGTCTAAGCCTGTAAGTAGCAACCTGTTAAACTGAGTTAATATCAGCAGCACTTGCCCCGTGTGTCTGTTCAGGTAGGTTGGAGCCAGCTACCCAGCCCTCGGAGTATGCCTGGTGCTGCAAGCTCAGCCTTTTGCCATCTTCTGCACAAGAGCAAACGCAGCAACTATGGATGTTTATAGCTGACAAGACAAAACACATTAAAGAGGTGATGACATCTTTTTAATACATCTTCTGCATTTCTAGTTCAGTCTTCCTCCATTTCTGACCCTTCTTGGAGCTCCAAAATGCTTTTCCTTCTTGTTTTGTTTTCAGGGGCTTTCTAGTAGAGAAATTCTTTTTAACATTGGAACTGTTTGATCAAGTCTTCTAGTGCTGCCCCTGCTGTTCAGCAGAAGAGCTGCTAGCAGGGATGTGTTGCCTGGTTTTCTAGAGGTGAACCATATAGCTGTCCTAACATCCCATGCCCTTTGCAACCTGCAGGTATGCAGTGAGAAATTAGGATATTGACTTGAATCTTCTGTTATTGCCACTGGCTTCTCCTCTTTCAAAAAGGACTCTGCCACGTGGAATTTCTGAATGAACTGTTGCAAACTCCTGTTTAATGGAATTTGTGTAATAAAATGTCAGGAAAACATTTTCTGTAGATACATGGCTTAACCAGAAAGTACTAATGACTGTTAAGTTTGTGAACAAACACTCTGTACCTGTGACCTGGCAGTGAAAATGTTACAGGGTCATGGAGCTCAATCCAGTTCTCTCATCAACTTCCAGAGTGATTTCTGACATCACAGTATTTTGTGCCTGTGTTTCCAGTAAAATAATATCAACATCACCAAGGCTCTGAAGACATATGAGATCTTTGGCTAGTTCATGCATGGAACTGAGATCGCACAAGGAAAGCATTCTTACATTTTCTGATATTTCATTTTTCTGTTAGCTGTTCTCCCTTTTATATAACTTTCGTATATATATGTACTTACTTTATATAACTTAACTTATAATTTACAGTGAATATTGCTGTGAAAGATGATCCAGTCATTTCAAATATTAGGTTTTAATAGTAGTATATACATTTCTTCTGTTTTAAAGGAAGCTAGAAAAGTTTCATTGT